ACCTACTCCTCCCCACCACATCTACTGTACCTCACTCCCCCCCATACACATCTACTGTACCTCACTCCCTCCCCCATACCATCTACTGCACCTCACTCCTCCCCCACACACATCACTGTACCTCACTCCCTCCCCCATACACATCTCTGCACTCTCCCCCCCCATACACATCTACTGTACCTCACCCTCCTCATACATCTACTGCACCTCCTCCCTCCCCATACTCATCTACTGTACCTCACCCCTCCCCATACTCATCTCTGTACCTCACTCTCCCCCCCATGTCTGCTGACCTCACTCCTCCCCTCCATACACATCTACTGCACCTCCTCCTCCCCCCATACTCATCCTGCTGTACCTCACCCCTCCCCACTCATCTACTGTACCTCCTCCCCTCCCCATACACATCTACTGTACCTCCTCCCCCCCCATACTCATCTACTGTACCTCACCTCCCCATACACATCTACTGTCCTCCTCCCTCCCCATACCTCTGTGCCTCCCTCCCTCCCCATACCATCTACTGCCTCCTCCCTCCCTCATACACATCTGCACCTCCTCCCTCCCCATACATCTACTGCCTCCACTCCCCTCCCCATCACATCTACTGCCTCCTCCCTCCCCATACATCTACTGCCTCCCCTCCCTACACATCTACTGTGCTCACTCCCTCCCCCATGCTCATCCTGTCCTCCTCCCTCCCCATACACATCTACTGTACCTCCACTCCCTCCCCATCCATCTACCTCCTCCCCCCCCCACTGCCTCCTCCCTCCCCATACACATCTACTGTACCTCACACCTCCCCACCACATACTGTACCTCCCCTCCCCCATACACACATCTTCTCCCTCACTTAACCTTCCACTCCCTCCCCATACATCTCTGTCCCTCCTCCTCCCCTACACATCCTGTACCTCTCCCTCCCCCATACACATCTCTGCCTCCTCCTCCCCCATACATCTACTGTACCTCCTCCTCCCTCCCCACACACATCTACAGCCTCACTCCCTCCCCCTTACACATCCTCCACCTCACTCCTCCCCCCGCCTCCTTGCTCCGCCTCTCATCTTCTACTATTCCATTTATCAGTTCTCTTCTTCCCTCCTGCCATTTCTTCGTTCCTCCTATTCCTTCTAGTTTCTGTAATCATCCCCCTATCTCCTCCCCCATCCTCCCCTATCTCCCCCTCTGTCCTCCCTATCCTTCCTCCTCCTTCTCCCACCTATCCTTCTCCCCTCCCCTCTCTGTAATTCTTTCCTTCTTCCTTCTTTCCCCGTCCTCTCTCTCGACAACTCATCCATCCTCTCTCCATCCATTCATCCATCATCCATCCCCACCTTGTCCCTCATCCCATCATCCTCTCCTCTCCATCCACCCACCTTTTCCTCATCCACCTTCTCCATTCATCCCCCTTCCCCCTCCTTTCCTCCTCCTCATCATCCCTGCTTCCCTCCCCCTCCCTCCCCACCCAGCCCTCCTATCCTCTTCCCTATCTCCTCCCTTCTCCCTCCAATACCCCCCACAAATATCCGACACTCGTATTCTCAGCGTTATATAAACAAAATGATAGTTACTGCCCAGAACTTGTCAGCCATGGTACTGTCGTGTCACACATTTCAAATCCAGTTACGATCATAATTTTTTTTTATCAAAGTTTATTGTAATTGGTGGAAAAAATAGTTTATTATCTTTTTTCTTTATTTATATTTTGTAATCGTGTATAATTGATTACGTTAGTTATTAAATTACATGTACTTATGCAGTGGGGTTTTATTTTATTTATTTAATTAGTTTAATTTTCTGGTCCGGTGTTTATGTAGTTATTATTACGCTTCTTCTCATTGTTGACGTTATTATTTTACTTCAACAACTAAGGTTAATTACACTTGTCTATCAACGATCATATTTTAGGAGATATACAAGTCTTATTTTATTCATATTTATCATCTTTTCTTCATCATTCTCTTCTCATTATTCTTTTTTATTATTATTTATCTTCCTGACACTTTATTACTTCATTTTCTTATTATTATTTTTAACGTAGGAGTGTGAGAAGAAGGATGATAAATGAGGTGAGGGAAGAGAAAGGAGGAGGAGAGGTAATAGAGAAGGTGGAGAAGAACATGGTGGGGTGTAGAAGGAGGCTTAGCAATGGCAATCTCGGTTGATTGGTTGGCTGGCTGGTTGTTGTCTGGTTGGACGACTGATTGCTTGGTTGGGTGGTTGGTTGGCTGGCTGGCTGATTGCTTGGTTGACTGGCTGGCTGATTGCTTGGTTGGCTGGGTGGTTGTTGGTTGGCTGGGTGGTTGGCTGGTTGATTGGCAAGAGGAAACGGGAAATGAAAGTTGGAGTTTGGAGGAGGAAACGTGGAGTTAGTGCTGACATATTGTTGAGATCGTGGAGGCCAGAGCGGGACGACCGAGCCAAGGAGCAGTGTACTCTAAGATAATGGCTCTTAATGGCGGGAAGACAGGAAGAGTTGTATTTATTTATTTTATTTTAACTGTCATGAACTAGGACACTTAACAGGTGTAAAAGTCGTGGTTAGTGGTGTGGGTGGGTGTTATTGGGGGTGGGGGGTGTTCGTTGTAGGTGGAGTGGTGGGTAGCTGGTGTTTGTTATTGGGGGTGGGGGGGGGTAGTTTGTGTGGTGGGTGATATAGTGGTGCCTGAGTGTCTACAGATGAATACTGTACTGGGTGTGATCGATCCTAAGCAAGACTACCTGCAGTAGCACCACCCCTCCCTCTTGTGTGTGTGTCCAGCAAGTTGTACAGCGCGGGGGTCCTCGTCTGCCTTATCTTCCATATACGGATGAAAATTACGTCTTGGTAGTGATGTGCAACTCACTCGGCCCATCGTAGACACTCCCTAAATACTCGTGGTTATACGGTACCCGAATAAGGCCTCCACACCACCCACGCCCACCATACTCACGCCCACTCTTCCTCACCCCCGACAAATAGTGAGGGAGGGTAAACACCCTTCCACGGGGACCAGTGGGCGGTGAGGGAGGAGGACGAGGAATGTAAGTGGGAGTGATGAGCGAGTAAATGATGACTGTGATGGTAACAGAGGCCCGGATGGCGGTCATTATGCTCGGACAAGAGCTGTTGTTACGCCTCACTCACTGGTTTTTCCCATCAAGACGAAATATATATTTACCCGAGGATAGAAGTTATTTCCCCAGAAGGGAGTCAGGTAGACGTTGAGGTGTAGTGAGGTGAGTCAGGCAGCGTCTGGAAGTACGTGGTAGCAACCCTGGAGGCGACCGTGTACCTGGCCCCCCACCTGCCTGCCTCACAATGATATTTGGATTGTCATGGTTATGTTTATCTTGCCGGGAGCGAGTAGGTCGTAAGGGTATTACTCATTATTACTGAATGTGTTAACGTTATTATTAAATAAAGAAACATTAGGAAGACAGATTTGATGTTTCCTGGAGTACACATATATATCGTGATGTTCAATATTTGTGTTTTAATATGTGAATTTACTTTGGAAAATATTTTATGTTGTCCATATATCTCATAATTATCTGTCGTATATGTATATAGAAAGAGAGACTAAGAAAAGTGGCATTCATGATTAAAGCTGACGTGGAAGTTACAGTAGATGACCAAGCTACAGTTAGTGTTGTCAGTGAACTGTTGGTCACCATTATGTTACAAAGGTAACTTAAGAGACGTGAACCACATGCCTGTGAAACTAAGTGAACTCGACTCTAATGATATTTTTACGGTGACACACTTGATAAAATACCATTAAGAGTTATTATCTGGGAAATGATGGCTCTGGCACCTGGCTGATACAGTGAAGCAGTACCGGGCGGTGGAACCATGTGAGGACAGGTGCCAGTGTACGTGTGGAGGTGCCACCATGGTGAACGTACGGTGCCTGGCCTGCCAGGTCAAGTACCGGGTGCTAGCCGCCAAGAACAACAACTTACTAGAGTGTCAAGCGCCCATACACGCCCCCAAGTTCCCTTACCGGGCACCTAAGTTACGGAAACCCAGGTCCTACAATAGGGTAAGTCTGTGTACCTTTGTGTGTGTCTGTCTGAGTGTCTGTGTGTGTGTCTGTCTGTCTGATACAAGGTCATTACCAGCATAAAACACACACACATGTCAACACATCTGTTTTTGAAGAGTTTGTTTTAATTATTGTCCAAATGACTTCCCGCCCGTCATACTTGAAGACTTCTCGGCATTTCCTGTGTGATGCAGTACTCCCTAGACACGTGCAGTTACACTACCTTCACCTATCTCTATACAGGAGGGTAGTTAAGTATACAGTACACGGGTCATTATATGTATTCGAGAACCCTTAATGGCGTGCAATAAACAGAAACCTAAACAAAAAAATCTGTAGGAATAAAGTCTGATTATTGTAAAGAACATACAACCATGGAATAACGTCAATAGTTCACGCGAGGACAGGATACAGGTTAGGTCAGGGTAGGGTACATAATAGGTCGTCAGGGCAGGGTACAGGATAGGTCGTCAGGGCAGAACAACAGCATCGGTAAGGTCATAACAGCATAACATGGGAGGGTGGGTGGGGGGGTGGTGAGGTCCTTGGCAGTACAGTTTCACCCGGTGTGTGTTCAAGGGCAGCAGGAGGTGGCACAGCTGGGGGGGGCAGGGTGCAGCAGCCACTACACCAGGAGCGACAGTATCAGTAGAGGAGTAAGAAAGTTCACGACCAACACACTGACTTTTTCCTCCGTGATGGAAGACTTGTAATGACGGTGTTTTCTCCCGCGTGCAAGATCCCTCACGCCTCTCCCTTCTCCTCTCCCCACCTTCCTTCCTTTCACCCTCTCTCCCATCTCCCTCCCTCTCGCTTCCCAATCATACACGCTTTCAGGTTATTCCTCTCCCTCCCTCCCTCCCTCCCAGGATCATCAGCCTCCCCCCCTGCCCCCTTGCTTCATCTCCCAACCATTTCCCGGTCCTCGTTTCTCCTTTCTGACCTTTTCCGTCTTTATCAACTCCTTCCCAGTCTTTCTCCCTCACTCACTCTTTGACATTCCAATCTTTCCAATCATTCTAGCTCTCTTAAGTTACATTATTTCCCTCCCTTTTTCTCTCCTCTTTCTCCCATCCCCTACGTTTCCTTAGTCCTCCTCCCCCTTCAGTCCCCCCTCCCATCTCCCCTCCTTCACCATCATCTCCCCATTCATTACCATGCGACATGTAATCATAATTCCAAACCTTAATTACAAATATTTGGAAAAAGAAGACTAACAATAGACCAAAGAAATGTGGAAGAAGAAACTGTAAAAAGGCGGAATAATTTGCCTCCCCCCAAATTTTGTCGGTGGTTCTTGTTGGGAGTTGACGCCAAAGACTGAGAGGGAAGAGAGACAGGTGGCCAGGTGTGACTTGTGTGTTACCTGTTATTATTACGCAAGGGGTCTGATCTGATGTATTGTCGTGTTAAACTGCTGGTGGTGGTGGTGGTGAGAGGTCGGTGTTAGGGTGGTGGTGGTGAGAGGTCAGTGTTAGGGTGGTGGTGGTGGTGAGGGGTCAGTGTTAGGCTGGTGGTCAGTTGTGCCGATGGCATGAGTAATGTAGATGTGTAACTTGACTGTGTATTAATTGACTGTACCTTGAACACCTGCGGTCGGGGGGGGGGGGTGACTTGGGGTCAATGTTAAAAATTTTTTTTTATAGAAATAAAGGTCATCATCATCATCACCTTTCCCTTTGGTATTTTATATTTTATTATTGTATAATATGTCGTACCTGTTGTGACACCTGTGGAATAATAGTCACTGCACACTTCCTTTACTCCCGTGACGCCCTGGTCACTGCAGTTAGTCGACATTATTGGCCCAATTACTCCATGTGATGACAAGCTTGAGTCCAGGTTGATCCGGTTTATTTGGACGTGTTCACCATTACCCTCCCCAGCGATACTGCACAAGACACGACGCCCCAGATGATCCTGCTGATAGTGTCTGATCGCACGTGAGATACCCGCCCTGGGGGATACAGTTACGCCAGGTACCCGCCAGCTGCACACCCTCACCTCTATCATTACGGGACATACGGGTGAATTTACGGATCTTGTGCCGAGACATAGGAGTGACTGTTGTGGTTTGAGATTACACCGTATTTTTGTAGAGGTAAAGAGAGTCCTTGTCGCATCACGTCGTAAACAAGGAATACATAAATGGGTGAACTTTATCTTTTCTCAGGATATAAACAGGATTTATGATGATATAAAGTAGGACTTAGTGGTAATTGTGGTGAATTATGCTGTGAACAAAGGTCGGTGTTTAGCCAACTGTGGTAGTAAAGTCTGTCTTGATCTGTACGGAAAAGCTCTTCTGTAGAATCTGTTGGGAAAGTTTATTTTATCTTTATCTCTTCTGTATACACTCACTACACATTAGGTACGGCTCTATATCTCGGCTGGGAAGTTTGTCTGGCGAGGCAGTTAGACTTTGACCCACATTATCAACAATTGCGTCGCGGAACTTTAACCTGCGCTGCGGTAATTGTTGGGGAGAGCAGCGACCTTTGTTCCTGTGTGGGGAGTGAGGCCTCTCGTGTGTGTGTGTGTGTGTGTGTGTGTGTGTGTGTAACCTTGTAGATAGGTGGCTACGTGTGCCAGGTACTCGTAAAATATGCAGGTGCAGGTATAACAGAGGGAGCGTGCATGAATGAACCAGGTGGTGGATGCTTTAGCTCTCTTCCACCAGGTGTGATCTCCACGGCCTCGCTCCAGTTAATTAGCGGGAGGAGTAAAGCACGTGGCAGGTCAATAGAGGCGAACCATTAATTACTGCCTCGTTTGTTGTGTGTCGGCTGAGCGGGGCTGTCGGGTGTCGGCTGAGCGGGGCTGTCGGGTGTCGGCTGAGCGGGGTGGTCGGGTGTCGGCTGAGTGGGGTGGTCGGGTTGCGTATTGAGGACGGGGGGGGAGTGGGGTGGAAATTCTGTCGGGGGTTCAGGAACTTAATCGTGAGGACGTGTGTAGTGTCTGGCGAGGAGGAGAGTTTTATCATATGCGTTGGTTATAAAATTCGAAGCACAAGATAATTATTACTGTTGTCAGAAAGGTCACTTGATTACAAAACAAATACTGTTGTTGTTAAGAATTATGGTGTTCAGGTTGATGTAGAGAGTCAATGTCATATTGTTGTTGTCAAGTACTGCTGCTCATCGTGACTTCCTGAACACACTGACAATATAGCTCAAGGTATTAAGTGGGTGAGTGAGCACTGTGTGTATGAGTCGTGGTGTGGTGTTTACTCTGCCTGAGGTCACGGTGGTTGAGGCTGTTATACCTGGGTCACGATGTTGGGCGAGGGAGCACACGGCGACACACTCGGAAGGTCATGTCAGTCACGTCGATGTTGACACGGTGCATTAATGACAAGCAGTAGGGGTTTAGACATTGCTGCTGGGAGTTACGCCTCTGTGTAGTGATATACAGTACTTTTGTTCATAAATGTGTACTTCTTACTCTTGTGTATATGCTTGTACGCATCCACACACATACATACGTACGCACACAAATATACACACTCATAGAATACCCCCTCCTATCCCCTACCCCCTCCTATCCCCCAGTTACACCTACCCTCTCTCCTTTGCGTCCCTCACTTAACGCTCATTGACACTCATTCGGGAACCCATTACTGGTGACGGGTGTGGTATTATTAACAGTGTCAGGAGGTGTAGCTGGTTAAGACACCTGGGACGGCCCGACAACACCCTGGCAGCCATATATACTGTGTGGCGTGATGCTGACTGTTGTATTTTGATATGTCCTGCTGAATAAAGTTGTTATTGTACACATCTAGCATTGTCTCCCTTGGGCGGGTCCTGCGTGTGGTGAAGGTAGAGGTAGGTTGGTGGTGAAGGTAGAGGTAGGTTGGTGGTGAAGGTAGAGGTAGGTTGGTGGTGAAGGTAGAGGTAGGTTGGTGGTGAAGGTAGAGGTAGGTTGGTGGTGAAGGTAGAGGTAGGTTGGTGGTGAAGGTAGAGGTGAGGTAGGTGGTGAAGGTAGGTAGGTTGGTGGTGAGGTAGGTTGGTGGTGATGGTAGAGGTAGGTTAATTGGTGAATGGTAGAGGTAGGTTGGTGGTGGAAGGTAGAGGTAGGTTAGTGGTGAAGGTAGAGGTAGGTTGGTGGTGAGGTAGAGGTAGGTTGGTGGTGAAGGCAGAGGTAGGTTGGTGGTGGAAGGGAGGTTGGTGGTGAAGGCAGAGGTAGGTTGGTGGTGAAGGCAGAGGTAGGTTGGTGGTGAAGGAGAGGTAGAGGTAGGTTGGTGGTGATGGTAGAGGTAGGTTGGTGGTGATGGTAGAGGTAGGTTGGTGGTGAAGGTAGAGGTAGGTTGGTGGTGAAGGCAGAGGTAGGTAGGTGGTGAAGGTAGAGGTAGGTTGGTGGTGAAGGTAGAGGTAGGTTGGTGGTGAAGGTAGAGGTAGGTTGGTGGTGAAGGCAGAGGTAGGTAGGTGGTGTAGGTGTATATAGAGGGTAAGGGGCCGTCGTCCACCATGCCGAGGATATGTTGGCCTGTAAATGTGGGCGTGGCCAGTCTCCCGCATCCTCTTACAGTCAGACGCAGAGTGGGCCACTCCTGTCCGGCCAGCTTACACCTGCTGCTGCCTCACACTGTCTTACCTGCGCCTGCGGTCCCTGCCACACCCTCTCTCTCTCCCTCCCTTCTTCCTGCTTCCATTATATACCCCTTACTCCTCCCATCCATTAAACCTTTATACTCTGGTCAACTAGTTAGAAAATCTCGATGGGGCTTTTTCGTATACATTTTCTTAGGGAGCGGAAGCCTGAGAGCTATTATCAGGTCTGTGTTTTGGTGTGTTTGGCTGTGGGTCATTGTGGGCGGGTCACAAGCAGGGGCCCAGGCAGCCAGTAGATTGTAGGTAGTAATAAGAGGGTTATATGGTGGGTGGGAGCCTGGTGACCCACCCCCAGCCCACCATAACCTAGTTATCATTAGCCAACCTTACCTGTGTAACGATCACCTGCTCATAACGCCCACCCATACATCAGACCCAACCTCT